GGGGGGGGGGGCAGTGTTAGTCCATAGACTGGATTTCCCCATTGGAGATCAAAGGCAGGTAAACTCAGTTCTGGGTAATTCTCAGCAGCCCTGCCCTGGGGATCTGCACGTTTGCATTACGCACACTAATGGTAACCTGAGAGGATAGCCCTGCTCCAACCAAGGGTATCCCAAACCAAGGTACTTTATAGCTAAAACTGAAACAGCACTCTCCTCCAGGCTTCAGGGAAGAGTTAAGGTAATAGAATTTTCTCAATGTTAAGGGGTTTCTGCATAAAATTTCTCTAACCTCTTGGCACTTGTTACTATACAATTTTAATTTAAATGCTATGGGAGTTGGCATCAACTTTTATAGCACTTGGTTATTTTTTCACTTAATTTATCCATACTTCATGATCCCCAGATGTCCTGAGATACTGTACATCATCAGAGGCAGGTTAGCATGCAGCTCGGAGGTTAGGCCCCAGAGCCGAGCCTGTCTGGGTCAGATCTTAGCTCCATGTCACTAGCTGTGAGACTATGGGCAGCGGCCTGAGTGATGTCAAACCTTTAAACTCCCCCAAAATACTAGGTACTCAGCAATTACACTATCAAACAAGTAGTTTCATCACTTACATCACAGGAGTAAATTAAAGCATCCTCGGACCCCATAATAAAAAAGCTGTGCCTCAGTTTCCTCATGTATAAAACGGGAATCACAACAATAATGACCTCATATGGTTGCTACAAGGATTAAATAGTCCATGTACGGTGCTCTGTAAATGATGGCCATTGTTATCATCATCAGTCCCCCTCGCATTCCATAGCCTGACTCTTCCCACAGGCCCAGCCTCAGCCCTTCAAGGCTGTATCACTATGACCCGCTGCTGCTCTGCTGGTATTGACCACATGCCACTCCTGGGCTGCCTTTCCCACCGCCTATAAGTGACTTACCCCAGGTCACATAGTGAGCAGCAGGATCAGGATTGGAGCTCTGGTGTCTCCTTAATAACTCAGATTTTTTTTTTCTCTTGGCAAGGCTTTTACTTTGGTCAGGACCCCCGTCCTTGTTTCTACCTGCCTTTTCTTAGCACTGATGATTTAGATCAGGGGTGGGGAACCTTTTTTCGTGGGCGATGCAAAATTATCAACTTTAAAATTAGCTATGTAAAAAGCTCCTAGATTGAATTTCAAGTCCTGCCTGCAGTTGCCTTGGTAGGGCCAGACCAAATGATTTCTTGGGCCCGATGTTCCCCACCCGATTTAGAGCGTCATTATAAAGATATTCCCTGCAGAGCTTTAAGTAAAATGACCAGGGCAAGGATTCCAAGTAGGTTCAGCAATGGGTCACGTGATCAGAAAGCCCTTTTCATGGTTTTATCGAATTCGGGGTACTTTGTGGTTACTGGACCTTAGACTATATGCAGCTTTTATCCCTTCTTCCAATTAAGCTTTCAAAAAATGGCTAAAATAGGCCTTATAAGGGTCTCTACTTAGTGGAAATGCATGCTAATGTGAGGATATATTAAAAATGTGAGAGTTTTTCTAAAGTAAAAAAATGAGTTTATTTTATTTGGTCACATGCACACCATCAACAGGCCAAGTTCTAGGCTCTGAACAACTTACTGATCAAACTGAAAAGGTAAACAGTAAATTGGAAAACTATAATTGTCATAGATCTGATATTCAAAGAGATCCTTAATCTATAAAAATGAGCAAAGAATGAAAGCCCCGAAAGGAAAATGATGCACAAATAGCCAATAAATGGGAAAAAATCTGTTCATAAAAGAACAGCAGATTCTTCCTCAACCCCCTAATTATGAATTGGGGAACATTTACCAACACGATAAACCAGCTGTTGGTGCACATTACAGTGTCTCCTACCTGCTGCTGGAGGGAATGTAAAGTACAACAGTGTACCTTCCAGAGCTGGTTTGAAGAGAGCAGTCAAAGGCTTTTAAATGTTTGGATCTTTTCACCTAGCAATTCCAATTCCAGAGCTTTTGTCAGTTTAGTAAAGTTGTGTAAAAAGGGACACTTATTTCATTGTATGATTTATATAATTAGAGGGAGTGTTTTAAAATGGCTTTCTTCTTAGAATGAAGGGCTGTATCCCAAGTGAGATGTGTTAACATACACGAGCACTTTCCATATGTCAGGGCTTCATATGTATGAGCTCATTTCTGAAGGTGTTCACGGTCCAGCTGTGGACCATTGGGGTGGCTACAGGACACAAGGAGAGAACAGGGCTGCCTGCATTGGTCTGGCCTAAGGGTAGCAAGTAGCAGAAAACAACTCAAATTAGTGTTAATTTGGAAAAAGAAAAAAGGATTTTTTTTTTGGCTGAGAAGTCTGTGCAGTCTCAATGATAGATAACAAGCTAACTAAGACTAATCGAGCTTTCTATGAGCAGGTGCTGTTTTAAGCACTTTGCATGTATTAATACTTTAAATCTTTATCCAATCCTAGGAAGTAGGTACTATTCTTAACCCCATTTTGCAAGTGAGGAAACTAAGGCAAAAGAGAGGGTAAGTGGCTTTCCCAAGGCTGAAATGGCCAGTGATGACAGGCAGCTGGCTCCAGAGCTTTAACTAGGTAAACTAGGGCTTGGCCGGATTCAGGAGTTGAGATGACGCTACCAAGACCTCTTGACTTGGCTTTCATCTCAAAGCTTCCTTCCTAGGTGGGCTCCATGTGTCTCCATGACAGCTCCAAGCCCAAATTGACCTTACAGCTCACTATACCAACAGAGAGGGTCTTCCCAACAGCCCTGCCTAAGTCCTGGGGGCTGACAGATCTGATTGGGGTCATGTGCCCTTTCCTAGCCTCCTGGGAACTACAGGACTATTGCAAAAGCAGGAAAAGTGGTTTCTAGGAAAGATGCTGGGCAGACATAAGTATGGCCACAAGGAAGGCCAGTTAATTGTGATCAAGGGCCAAAATGAAAACCAGGTAATGGAACTCCTGCTACATGCGTGCCAGGTGTTTGCAAGGCACTGGAGGGCTACTAAGACATGGTTGTTGCTCCCATCAACTAGGGAGAGAACAAAAGGGAAGAGGGAAGCTGCAACAAAGAGTAACCGAAGCTTGAGGAGAAGGAATAGCTGATCAGAGGTGAGCAGGAGCCTGATCTGGGAGGCCTGGCAAGCCCAGTTCAGGAGTAATGAACAGTAACTACCACCCTTGAATGCATATACATGCCAGGCACTATGCCAAGCAATCGGTATACATTTATCTTCACTCTGGTACCTGCTGTGACAGAGATGAGGAAACGGATACTTAGAACAATGAAATAAGTTGCCCAAAAATGCACAGTGATGGAGCCAGAATTCAATAGTCTATAAACACTTTGGACTTGCCCATGTTGTTAAGGGGAGGCCAGCAGAAGCCATAGTCAAATTCATCACCCCTGCAAAGTAATGCACATTGAAAATGAAAATTTCTTGGCTGGTAGCACGCTGCTATTGTGTATCTGTCATTAAGGTGCACAGAGCACACATTTAAGAACTTATTTAATGGGCTCCAACAATGAAGATGTGCTCATTTGATACTGGATTTCTTCCAACCTGCTTTTAAGTATCATCTATATGGTGTGCACGTATGCCATTTAAAATATCACGGGGAAAAAGCTGGGAGGATTTCAGATCCAAATACAATGCCCCTGAAACCACCAAAGGGGAAACCAGATCTGACTTGAACACACTGCATATGGAAACCCTGGTACTGCTGCAATGCTCTGGGGATATTCAGTTACGGGGGAGACCCAGCACTGACCTTTCTGCAAGGGGACAATCAACAGAAGACTGTATTTGATAGGAGGAGTTCGCTTCCTGCTCACAAGGCTTCTAACCCTGTACAAGAGAGAGATGAAAGGAAGGCAAAGACCCCAGCTGGCTCTGGAGAGAGGAACCCTGGCTCTTTAGAAGTCTGAAAAGAAACAAAACAAAACAAAACAAGAAAGAGGAGGTATTGTGTAGAAAGTCCGTATGATCCACCCACCTGTTAAGTCCTTTGCTCCAATGGGTTTGCTAGAAACGCTGAAGAAATGACAGAAATAAAACAGCAGGAGCATTCTTATATTCTGCAAATGCCCACGACATATACAAGATACGAAGCAGTGCCAACTAACTTAAACTTTACTTCCTGGTGCCCTTCTGGGCTACGCACCCCTGTATCTGACACAGCGGAAGCCACTGTCCCTGCTCCCCACCGTCCCAGCAGGATACACTGCCCTTTGTTCTGCACTCACAGAACCCTGCACGCAGTGCTTCTATCACGGCGTCGTGCTGAGCTCCTCTCCTCCCCTAGGCTGTAACTGACCTCTGTCCTCAGCATTGTAGCAGAGGCAGCTGCTCAGAAAATGCCCGACTTACAGAAATGCTGCCACACCTTTATAAACGCCGCCGTGCGGCGCAGGGCGGCTCTGTGGTCGCCTCTGGCCGCGGCGCTCCGCGCGGGCAGCATCCTTGCTCCCGCCTCCCCACCGCCCAGCTCGGCGCCTCCGGTTCCCACGAGCAGCAGGTGCGGGCGAGCGTCGCAGTGGCTGAGCGCGTCGGGCACACG